GAACATCCTGTCCATCTTGACAGCTACCTTGGACTAGTCTTTTGTTAGGGATCTGTGATGGCTGCATAAACATGGAAGAAATTCGAGTTTTGAGAAGTAACGTCTACAGCAGCTCTTCAAAACATGTCTGTCTCATAGTGCTCTCAGGTTGGAGCTTTGCATGTTGAATAGTCTGTGGTGGGGCGGTGGGGTTTTTTTGTTTTGTTTTTGTTTTTTTTTAAAAATATTTTCTTCTAATCTCCAAAATGTCTTTTGGGCTAGATTGTTCATATTTCTTCTTTGGCCTTATAGCAGTTCATATGATTTGATTCTTCTATGCATCTCTGCTGAAGGGCAGCTGGAGATACAACCAGGCTTTTAAAATGGTGCAGAGCTGTATTTCTCTCCTAGTGAAATCTGAATTTAGATGGTTATCTAAAAGAGGTGGACAGAAGAGCCGTGGCGTCTTCAAGCACTGACAGAAGAGATGGAAGAGTGATGGTTACTTTTTCTGATCGATATGACTGTAACTAAGATCCAAGAAAACCTGATTTTTAGAGAAATCTTTGTAATTCCTTTCTTCTCTGACCTTAGGTAAGGAGAAGGGAAGCTGGGAAGTGGCTGGTGCTGAAAGGCCAACAGGATGTCATGTAGTTTCTTCCTCAAGTCAGCCACATTTGATTCCACACTCTCATTTCTTTGGTGAAGCAGATGGCAGAGTTCCTGTTGAGTTACCAGGATTTTAGTAGAATTGCTTATGTTTTAAGCTGGAGTGAGGCATCTGGGACTCTTCCCTGTAACACTGCTGGGCACTGAGGCTTTCCTGAGCTCCAGAACTGGAAGAGAAATATTTTTCTAAAGCACTTCTGAAGGAGTGGTGTCTGTTTAGTGCTTTAATGCTAGCTGTTCAGTGCCATTCCGTTACTACTCATTTCTGTTAATTTTTAACTTGCGTTTTCTGTTTTGTGTCTGACACAGGAGTCATTTTTTTCTGCCAAAGCTATAATGCAGTATAGCTGGGAAGTGGGGGAGTAGCAATCTGACCAGGTTGAAAGTAATCATCTATTAGTTTCTCCAAAGCTTTTTACTTTTAAAGGACCGTTGCACATTTGTAGTGTGAGTGATTTATATACCTTCACGCTCAGCAGAAAATAATAGTCTATAAGCAGGTGTCCTTGCTAGTATGAATAGGCTTCTGCTCCCTTCTCAAGTAGCAACTTCGGAAGCTTTATATTTGTGCATATTTGGGCTCTACTTTTCTGCCATGTATTGTGTTCTTTGAACTCAGATGAAGACTGCTGAAAACATGGGAGGTCTCCGTCAGTTTTGCAATTATGGCTGCCTTTGCTAATAGATGGGAAACAACTTTCTTCAAGGGGAGTGGACAAAAATTATTTGACACTTGCTCTTGGGCTGTCCTTAAGAAAGAGCTGAGCTTTTCTTAGCATTCCTGAAGCTGTCCCATGGCCCTGCATCAAGTGGCATTCCCAAAAATGGTCTTTGGTCTGGGCTTTGCTGCATCAGCATGTCAGAGCACAGCACTCAGTCCTGCAGGTGTGTGCTAGCCCTGATATAAACGGAAATTTGTGGATATTTACCAGCTTATTAATTGTTTGTTAATCAGGCATGTTGCCAACCGTTCAATAATTGCTTGATCAAACTAAGAGTTTTTAAAAGAAACCTTTTAATAATATCACTATATATTTTCAGTATTCTTATATAGGAGGCTTATGTTCCATTAGCACAAGAAACTGTTTTTAAGTATTCCCAGTTCCCTGTGAGGAAGTAAATTATTGCTAATTCCTGGTCAGATAACAGTCATCTTGCCTGTGATGCAGGTCCCCAAAAAGTATGTTTGCTTTTTTCTTGTACAAGAGCCACAGACTGAACGAGGAAGGTGTTTAGATGGGGATCCCCGAGGGAAGAAATGCTGTCAGTACGGTTCCAGGAAGCAATAAGCACCTTCATGAAAATAACTCAAGTCCCCATCCTTAATCCCTGCCTATCCTTTTTTATCTGATGGACTCAGCGAGGGCTGGAAGATCACAGCGCGGCTGAAAACGAAAGGGAGTTAACAAGATGTGACCAGTCAATGGATAAAACAATAGGCGAAACCCTCCACGTTGCCTAGTGCCCAGGTGTCCTTCCCATGCACAGGTAGCCATGTGGATCCTGGTGAGTTTGCTCTGCTGCTTGACGCTCGGAGGGCTGCCGCGGGCGGGCGGCTCGTGCCCATCGCAGTGTAGCTGCGCCTTCCACAGCCTCAGCGAAGGGACCAAAGCCAGGTATGCTGAGACCCTCCCCAGGGGGGTCGCCGCTCTTCCTCTGGGTGTCGGGGGGTTTATTTCTTCTCTTCTGTAAGGATGCTCGGAGGAGAAAATATTGCATCCAGACTTCATGTCCATTATTTTTCCAGTTGCTTTGCGCTCTAGCTTTATTTGCAGAGGATTAGCTTCTGAAAACGCAGTAAGCTGATTTCAGAGAAAGCATTTGGGCATCTCCTCTGTGAGAACAGAAGTGACATAATTACTGCTGGTGCACTGGCAAAAAAGGAATAAAATTTAAACAAAATTTTCTTTTTTTTTTTTTACCTTTATGCTTAAAATGCTAGTTTTAGAAGGCTTTGTTCTGCTCTGCTGGTTTGTTTCTAACTAGAGTTGGTTTATGTTGTGGTACCAAAAACTGCATTTCCATTTACTTAAGAAATCCTTCAGTTGGAGATTTTAGGCAAAGTGATACACTCTAGGAGGGAATGAACCAAAAATATAGATAATAGTAATAATAAAAATAAGATAATTATCAGACTGGAAACTTTCAGTTAAAGAAGAAGACAAAATCAGAAGGGCATCCATTTTTGAATGCAACGCCATTGTACAGACATTTCTCTGGAGGACTGTAATAAAAATGGCTTTCTGAAGGGTAATCACAAAATAATGATCTGACCTAATGAAATACAGGCTACATTTTTATAAGATGTGGTTCACACTAGAGGAGATTTTTAGTCAGAGATACAGTATTTGCAAAATCTGTGGGAAGACATTTTTTTAGACTAGACCACAGTACTGAAATGAATGGCTATCCCCTATATTTTGGATCCCAATGAAATAGATCTACTTTCTTATCTCTTTTATGGTGCTATAGATTTCATGCCAGAAACTTTCCCAGTAAGAAGCGTGGTAGAGATACCACGTCTGCAATCGTTAAATGGGAGTGCAATAGCGGGAGAGCCAATTATTGCTCCATAAATGTCACAGTTCCCAGGGAAATTTCCTCTCAGTGACTGGAAAAAGCTGTAGTGTATTTTGGGAAGATAAATAATAAAGCAAATATACATTAGTCCCATAAGGAGCATCATGTCACCTTTTTTTCTCCATTAATATTCATATTTGTCACTAATAGAAGGAGATTATCCCATAGATTAAATGTTTAGTGCTCACTGACATAATTTAGGGACACTATGAGAAGCACGCTGTTTTAATGCCATAGTGTCTCTGCTATTAAACATTTTGTGTCATGCCTACAGAAAAAAAATCTTTTATTGAAAGAGGATTTCTGGATTTTTCTTATTTGATAGATTTTTCTCTACCTCAAAATCTCAACTTTCAGCTGAGGGTGGTCAGGATTTAATGCTGCAATAAAAGTGCTGGATAAGAATAATGTACTATGCTTTGATTATAAATTAATGATTTAACTGTAGGCTCAAATAATGTTTAACTCTGGGAAACTTGTGTGAGCAGTTCAGCAATGTTATTTGTTTTTGTTGATAGTAGAGGAGTAATTGCTTTCAGCCCAAACCAATCTGCTTTTGGCAGCTTTGTAATATTCTGTTTATCAGCCAGGCAGTGTGACAAGAAAATGTTACTCGACTGATCACGTTACATTTCTTGCGGTATCTTGTATGGCATGTGGAGTGGGACATGCCTAGCTAACCTGTTACCTTTTGCAAGGTGGCTTTGTATTTTGTTAATTCTCTCCTTGCTGATAGGCATATTGAAGTGCAGTCTGAGAGACCTATTTTGTCTCCACTCCTTATGGCTTTCGGCATCCCCACATCTTCACAGAGTCAAAGTCATAAGTTTTTGTTTGAAGGCTGTGAAAATGCAGCATAGAGTTTTCATGATTTGACCTCTAGGGATTAGAAATGGGAAGGAACAATTAAGACACATAAATCTGCCTTGCTTTTAGTATAGCATTTTCCAAAGAGTTAATTTTCTCACTTTCACTCTCTTAACTATACATGCTTGTGGTGCAGTGACTGCTACCAACTGTACACACCTTCCAGATTTTTTCATAGTAAAGCAGAGCTTGTTGTAGTGTATTTCCAGTGAGTTGTTAGCTGACTCTTATCCTCATTTCACAAACCAAAGATCCTGTGCTGTGTTTAGTCTGTATTACTTGCTGCCATCCCATGTCGGTTAAGTTTCTTTTCGTATGCCTTTTGTTGTTCAATTTATGGATCCTTTAGTTTTAACATGCACTAGAATCCTCTGTTGTGCATGAATATTGTCACCACTGTCTATCATAAGTACTCTAAAAAAAAACTGAAAAAAGAAAAAAAGCAGGAGCACTGTATGGGCAAGATTCAGACTCACACCACTCCAGGAGAGGCACAACACTGGAATCTCTGCAGTCAAAAGATATATGTGAATTACTGCAAGTTGATGTACTTATGGTGATAATGTAGAGATTGGCAGTAAGACAGACATGACTAGAAGAAAGCTTGTGAAAAAAAGAAAAGCAGATTGAAATCTTGCATTAAAAGAAAATTTCAAAACCTTTTCAAAGTACAAGAAAGTCACATCTGTGTTTGTGTTTCCCCACCAGGACAGTGTTGTGCAATGACCCGGAGATGACTCTCACTCCTGTGAACATCCCTGTCGATACGTCCAAGCTTCGGATAGAAAAGACAGCCATCCGCAGGGTGCCCGGAGAGGCTTTCCACGGGCTCCACAACCTGGAATACCTCTGGATGCCCTATAACTCCCTGGCCAGCCTCAGTGGGATCACCTTCAAGGGCCTTCGTCGCTTGCAGGAGCTGAGGCTGGATGGGAACGACTTAATATCATTCCCCTGGGAAACCCTGGCTGACATGCCACAGCTAAGGCTTCTGGATTTACACAACAACGAACTTACCTCAATCCCTCCGGATGCTGCTCGTTATGTCAAGAATATCACATACCTGGATCTGTCTAGCAATAAACTGATGACTCTTCCTCAGGCTCTTATTGCCACCTGGGCCAACCTCCAGGCCGTCCCTTACTTCCCCAACGATAACTCCAAGATCATCCTAGGTAAGAGAAGCGCCTGCCATTTTGCAGGGGGTACAAATGTCAAGGGCTCTGCATCTTATTGCAGCGTTTTCACCCACTGTGGTTACCACAGCAAGTACACTGCTGTGTACAATTTAATATCTCATATAAAGTGTCCAAATTCATTTACATATTAACAAACTCACCTCAGGCTCCCCACACCCAGCTTATTATACCATAAACTTCATCACCTGCTTGAATCTTTTAACACAAAAACAGTCACTCTTGCTCAAGCCCTTTTTATTTATTGATACTGCCATTTATGACAGAAATATAAATAAGGTTAGAGCTCCACATCATTCATGTGCTCTTTTCTAATAGCAGTTATTATGGAATTGATCCATTTTAAGCAGCATTAAATAAAAAGATGGATATTTATTAGGTTCAAATTAAAGAGGAATAAAGCCATCACTGAGCATAAAATCTAGGTCAGGACTGCCAGTTTGTGTCTTTCCAGAGTCTTGTTTATCTGTTCACCGAGAATTAAATCCTAGTCTCCCTGAAGTCACCAAAATAGGGTAGCTTCAAGGGCAGCTATAAAGTTACAGGAATCCACTTTTTTTTGTGTGACAATTCTGGGCTCCTCTGAAGTATGGCTTTTGGACAGTTGTCCATTTTGGTGTCAGAAGTCATATTAACAGATGACTGTCTCGAATCCTCTCAGTTGCAGTATCCCCAGATGAGGGTTCGAGCACATTTTCTAGTTCAGGGGATTACTACTCAGCCTTTTAGCCATCGTGCACTGGTTCAAATCCACAGCAGGTTGATGATGGTACAGAGTTGTTGCCATCTGCTGTCTTCACTTGCTGTGAGCTGACCCAGCTCCACTGACTGTGTTTGATCTGCGGGGTGTGTGCATCTGTGTGTACTGCCTCAACAGCCACGGATGTGAGTTCAGGCACTCACTGATAATCTCATCAGAGATGTTGCAGGTTTTCTCTTACTCTGGAAAGTACCCACTGCTCTTTGTTCTCTGGATAAATTTAGGGTGGTAAAGTTTTTAAAACCAGATTGCAGTGGAAAGAGACACGTGACTTTAAAAAGATTCAAATTACCACCTACAAAGCTTTAATGTCCTTAGTAGATAAGGTTTCATTAGCATCAGGAGAGGAGCAGGTGTTTTGTCATCTTATTTTGCCAGATGTGGTATCATGTTCTTTAAGTCAAAGCTGGCTCTTTGGGATTGCCCATTTCATTTGTGGCATGACAAGACACTACTTAAATCATACTCTTTTCTTTATTTAATTTTTAGAGTCAAGTTACATGTAAAAATGTTATTCCATTCAATATAGATTAGGAGAGTATTTTATCGAGAAGAACAGATCATGCCTTGATGCTTGTGGCCAACCTGGGTGTTTACGTAGCCAGCTGTGCACAGGTTGCTTGTGCCAGGATTCTAAAAAATTAATGTAGGGAAATGAGTATAATCCTAAGATTAATACAGTAATGTATAGACACTTCAGCTCCTAGATCCTATCCTGCTGACACCCATAGGGACCAGGTGTATGAAACACATGTCCCTCGCAGGAGCAGAATGGGAGAACACAGCTGCACATTTCTATTTCACTCTGCCCATGACTCTTTCTCATGGAGGTATAAAAAAATCCATGAATAATAAAGAGTCAACCCAGTCCCTTCTTTTGTCTACAGTGCATCATTGCGACTCCTTTTCAGAGCCCTTGCTTGTAGACTACTTCAAGAAGTACTTGTAGCTGTAGCTTGCTGGCTGATAGTCTGTGCCAGGGCTGTAAGCTTTCACACATGAGGGTTGCCCACGTGAGCCCACAGCACTGTGCCGTACGGGGCAGGAAAGGGCTCACTGGGACTTTGGGGGTGCCATGACATCACTCGGGGCTGGGGCACCTGTCAGGGAATCTGGAATAAATTCTTATCTAGTGCATGAAATCAGAAGTAAGCTGCTAGCAAAAATGCCATAAAATGGCGAAGTTAAGCTCCGAACTTTCATTCTTTATAATCCCCTTAACTTTAATGCATTAATTTTTAATGAATGCTCTCCCACCAAGGTCCACCACTTTCAGACCCCTTCCAAGCCTGGTTAGGATGGTATGCAATGGTATCAGCAAGAGATTTTTCAGCAGCCTTTAAAACAGTTTATTTGAGACCTCAGGGGCTTTTAATTGACCCTGTGTTTCTGTTGAGCAAATTTGAGCAGCTCCTTGATCATCATGGAGCCTTGTGGTGCACCCTCTGTGCTTGTGTCAAAACTTGTTCTTGCTGGAAAGCTGCTGCTTGCATGACTACTGCTGCAGTGTGCCAGTGGCCAGGAAGAGCGGGCACCCTAGGGTAGGCAGCTGTTGTTTCCTCCTGCTAGGAGTTGAGGGAGTATTAGTACTCTCTACTTTCAGGGAGATGCCAGCCCTGAGCCATGTTCTCGCGGAAAAGAGGAGGTGAAGCCCCCTTGGAGGGAGCAGAGCTCACTCCTGTGGCAGGCAGGAGGCGTGGAACACCGTGCTCCTGCCTCAGGCTTCAAGTGCATTCCTGGGGTTAGGTGTATAAAAATCCCCGGTGCCAATTCTGGTAGCTAAAGTTGTTAGAGACCATAAACTGTCCACAGGACAGGTGAATGTGAATATCTGTAAGAAGGATGACACAGATTTAATCAGAATGCAGTAACTTCTGTTCCTGCATTGCCCTAGTTTCTATTTTGCTTTTTCAGTACCATCTTCACAGGTCTATTTTTAATAGAGTAATGTCTCGTTTTTTCAGAATTTGAATTCAATGAGCACACACTGTGAGAGCAGAAAAAAGAGAAACATTCTGGGACTCTGAAGCAGGAGTGCATTCTTCAATATACCCATTTCTATGTGTATATTCTTAATGCAATTGTTGTCTATTTGTGTTGTTTTACATACCATAACATGTATATTCTTCAGTTTACTCCTTAAAACAGTTCTTTCATCTTATGCAGTGTAAATTAGCTTTTCAGGTGAAACAACTAATTACTAAAATAATGGAAAAATGCCTTAGAATAACAAGGCGGAAAGAGAACTCTTACAGTCAGGTAGGATCACCTACCTATTGCAGTCTTGACAGTTGGCCTGATAATCTGTCTAGTATTTTAATAACCTCCAGTGAGAAGAATTTCCTAGCCTGTCTAAGGAAGAGACTGCATAGTCTCTTCACACCAAAAAAATCCACACCCCAAAACAAACCAACCTTCTCCTATGGCTACTTGTTTTTTCCATCCTGGAACCAAATGTGTTTATAATAACTACTTGTTTTGCTTCTTTACATGCATAAATAGTGATGTTTTCATTATATGAATAATCCTGCTGTGAATTTAATGAATATGATTTCGGCTCCAGATTTTGAGATACCTTAGCAAGCCATATTTATTCCTTTCTGCTAACTAGCAACTGTGGGATCTGTCAAGCTCAGCCAACAGCAGCAAGGGGCTGTTGGGACACCACCACCCCCTGCATACCCCTGCGTATGCACAGGCAATCCTTGCTGGGTAGATTAAGAGCCTGTCACAGTTTGTCCTCCTGAAAAAGACAAACAAAAATAGCAGAAACAGAATGTGCTGTTGGAGTGACTTAGTGCTCTGATTTATTTTGACAGGCTTGCAAGACAATCCTTGGGTATGTGACTGCAGTCTGTATGAAATGGTCCATTTCCTAAATTTCCAGTCTCCTAACATAGCATTCATTGAGCCCAGGCTGAAGTGCTTCACCCCCCGGAGCCTTGCAGGAGTCTTCTTCAGCCAAGTTGAGCTAAGGAAGTGTCAAAGCCCTGTTGTACATACATCCGTGGCCAAAGTGAAGACCATCCTGGGCAGCACTGTGCTACTGCGATGTGGGACAACCGGGGTGCCCATTCCTGAGCTCAGCTGGAGAAGAGCTGATGGTGCTCAGCTGAACGGCACAGGTGAGTTTGGTTTAAGCTTTTCTCGTACAGAGGGAATGGATGAAGGAGACCTGCACCTTTATTTTCTACAGACTGTACAGCAAATGGAAGCTTCTATGGCAATAGATCCTTCCCACTGATAAAAGACCCAAAAAAAGAAAGCAGTGCAAAAATAAGATGCACTCTAATCCACAATAGTAGCATGTGTAATTCACTATAGCATTGTAATTTTCTGTAGACTATAAAATTATTTACATGTTGATGTAAATCTAATCAGATAAATGTATACTATCATGTATAAAAAACTGGTTTTGTTTTGTTTCATAACAATGGTGGTGGTGCTGAGATGAATGAAGCAACTTTCCACAAATCTGTTAGAGCTGAAGAAATGAAATATGTCCAGCTGTAGCAAGAGGCTGGTTATTTAGTTATTCAGTCACTGAAAAGGCTTCCCACTGAATTATTTTATGGGTCTCTGAGAGTAATGATAAGCTACTATTAATCAGTTAGTAAACATGTCTGGCAGAGAGATGTCTGACATGAATTCCACTGGGATTCAAATCTGCTGTAGCAAAGAAAGAAAAGATTGAAAACATGCAACTTTACTGATATATTAAAAGAGAGAAGAGCCACTGAAGTGCTGAAGGATACAATACTTCAGTGACAATGCTTCCAAGAACTAACTAATTTCTGAAGGTTCATTTCTGACAAGATTTCTTGGGGGGGGAAAATGTGGGAGAAATGCTGACCAGGTTCCTCTTCTGTGCTCACCCCTCTTGTGGGGGAAGCCTTCAACTGCTGTTCTTGTGATGGATCATGTTTTCATTTTGATTCACAAGAATAATTGGACTCAAACTTGCCATGTTGGCCCTTGAACATTTTTGGAATTTAGGGAAGAAACCTTTGCTGCACTTGAGGCAGTCATCCTTAGCTTTTTGCCCTACAGGATTTAGATCAGAACCTGAACCTACATCCCTCCAGCCGCCTCTAATGCTACTGTCTCCCATATGGCCCTGACATAGAGGGTCTAAACTCAGCAGAGAAATCACTAAGTACGGGGGCTGATCTTCAAAGGGTTACTGGGCTCCTCAGTGCCTAGAAACAGGGGAGAGAGCATTTTTCTTTCACAGCAACAGAACCACTTGTAATAAATATCCTTTTTTGGGGATCTGCACAAGTCATTGCTCTGTTGTGCATGGCGTGCAGGATGTAGCAGAGCCAGTCCTTATAATCATCATGTCTACCCATTGCGCTGCAAACATCCCTCCTACACTTGAAAAAGAACCACAACAAAAAGTAAAACAGAATGCTTTCCCAAAAGCGTATGTTGCATTTACTTTGAGCTGCAACTGAGAATGATGTATTTTGTGCCCTTAAATCAGACTTTAGCACCTTTCAATAAAGTTGGCTGAAAATATACATTATTTCTCAGCAATGGCAGCTTCTCTGCCAATGCTATAATATGACTGTTTGAAATGTTAGAAATTGAAAGGAGTGAGAAACAGCCCACAGCCTGTATGTATGGGGAAGTGCCACAGGAAGACCGGTAGTTTTATGTTTTTAATATACCCGTTCAGTAAATAATTAAACTGACAAAGTAACTTCTGCTGCCAGTGTAACTCCCCACCTTTGAAATGTACCCTGGTTGCCAAGGCTGGATTCTGACCCCATGAGGGCTTGGGAGAAGTTTGCATCTTGTCTTACCTTTGCCTTTCAGACATCTCCCTGGTTTACCTTTAAAGTGGGAGAGGGCAGAGATAGTACATGCTCATCCTAAGGAGGCTGGTAAAACAATGAAGAAGGTGCTTTACCCTTCTGCATGATCTCAGCTCTTATTTTCTGCACAAACAGAAAAAAGAAAAAAAAAAAAAAAAGAAGCTAGTTTTAGCCTGTTGGTAAACCAAGTGAGAAAATCAACACTCAGCTGTGTTCATACCGTTCAGTGCTAAGTGATCAAAATTTCCCTGTGTTTGGCTCAATATAAAACCCTGCACTAATTTAGCAGTAAAAGGGATATTATTTTTCAGCTATTTTTCTCCATATCCTCTAGACTAGTCCATATATGGTTTTTAGAAGATAATCTCTGCTGTTTGTATTTTCTGTTACTCAGAGGACCACATAGAATGTTCAACTAGGTTGTGTTACTGCCTACTCCTTCCACTCTTTTAAGTATTTTACCTACATAAGCGCTTCTAAGCTTTTTTTGGTTTGTTTGTTTGTTTTAAATGGAAGAACCTTTCCTGTTTCGTTTTCAACCTGTATGTGAATTGGGAGGAAATAGCATCAAAAATTTCACATATATTCAGTCTGAAGCAGTGTAAATCCTAACATAACCCAAGTTTAGCATTTGTGTCCTTTTCCTGGATTTACTTTGATTTTGTGACGTCCTTGGTGACAAAAAAGAAATTATGTCTACTGTGCTGAGCAAACATTTGGCTGATTTAATCTTAATATTTTACAAAACATGTTCTTAATTCTATTTATTATTGACTGTTTATTTTACATTTTTCCTTTCCTGCAGTTCACCAAGAGATTTCCAGTGATGGGATGAGCTGGTCTATTCTGGGCCTGCCTGTAGTCTCTTATCTTGACTCTGGAGAGTACATCTGTAAGGCAAAGAATTTTCTGGGGGCAACAGAGGCGTTCATATCTCTCATCATCACGGACTCAGAAAGCACAGATGACCCCAACACTAACGCCAAAGGCACATGGAGCGGGAAGGCGAGTGGGATGGAGGCAGCTGCCTACAATGACAAGCTAGTGGCAAGGTACGTTATCACCACCTCCACCATGCCTACCCTGGGGGCTGGAGTGGGCACTGGAGAGGGCCTCCTCCCAGATGTGGCCCAAGATAGCAACCCCGGAAACCTGCTGGTGAGCCCTCCTACTGGTCAGCAGGAGCCAGAGCGAATTGTGAGGTCCGTCAGGGTGATAGGAGACAGCGATCAGAGTATCACCTTGGCCTGGAAGGCACCTCTGGCAAAGAACACGACAGTGTTCAGTGTCCTCTACGCCATCTTTGGAGAGAGAGACATGCGGCGGATCAACGTGGAGCCAGGGAAGACCAAGGTCACCATTTATGGGCTGCTGCCAAAGACCAAATACATTGTGTGTGTCTGTGTGAAAGGGCTGATCCCCAGGAAGGAGCAATGCATCATATTTTCTACTGATGAAGTTGCCAGTGCGGGAGGCACCCAGAAGCTCATCAATGTGGTTGTCATCAGCGTGGCCTGTGTCATTGCTGTTCCTCTCACACTGGTGGTCTGCTGTGGAGCGCTGAAAAGGCGCTGCAAAAAATGCTTTGTGAGGAAACCCAAGGAAATTCAGGAGTCCTATGTCACCTTTGAAAGCCTGTCTCCTGGGGCCAAGGCGAAAGGTGTGGAAGGGGAATACTTGACTAGACATACCCCTGATGAGTCAAACAGGCTGCTGTCTGCCCGATCCAGCGTGGACTCAGAAGCAATACCAAAGATAGAGGGCCAACCTAACGAATACTTTTGCTGATAGTAACCGGCTGATGGTCAGCTCGTGAGGTGGAAAGCACATGGCTGTATGTACAACTCTCTGCTCCAGCCCTGCAGGCCCCCCTGTCAGTGCTGCTGTCTCCTACATGTTCTGGAGAAGGATGCAAGAGTGTAAATGGTGCCCAGACTTTACAGAAACATGTGCTAATCCCACATGGGGTTTGCTGTTTTGTACCAGTCAAAAGCTTCTATGATATTTGCCTCATTCTCATGGACCACTTTTATTTTCGTAAAATGAAGCATACACACTGAGTGTGAGGACATTAAGCAACATTCCTGAGTGCGCTCTGCTTGGTGTTATTTAGTATCTGCTCTGCAATATGCTAAGTATTTCATTCTCAGCTCTTTTGATGTTCTTTTGGTTGACAAACAGGGGAGCGTTTAGTAATTTTAATATAAATAGCTATAAAGGTGAAGATTGAAAGTCTCACCTCTCACATCTCCCATGTTTGCATGAAACATGCAGCTTGATACTTAATAGATCACTAAAAGTTGATGTACAGCAAACCTTTCTAGTATGTCCAACATAACAAGAGCTCTCTGCTCTGAATTCAGAGAAATGTGCAAAGGAGATAGAAATCAAGAGACAAACCCCAATCCACTCCTAAAAATACATAATAGAGAGCATTTTGTGATTGCATTTTGCCCCTGAACACTATTCTTAAGATTTTCTTAAAACAACAGTACCAAGCAGATCTTTCAGTATCAGGCCTAGCTGACATTTTCTAGCTGTATTGTAATTAGTAGAGTATGTTGTAGATCAGCTGTGCTAGTTAAAAATCATATAATATCCCACTCTGCAAATCGTGTGTGGTGTTGTAGTGCTTTGTAACCATACTGAAAAGCCCACATTAGACAGTTCTGCAAAAATCTCTCAGACCAGCCCTGTCATTGCTGCCGGCTCTCCTGACAGAACTGGTGGTGAAGACCAGAGGGCTGAACCACACACTTGCTGTTTGGTCATGAAAATGCCTTGCTCCATGCAGAGCAGGGGTATGTGATACGGTGGTAGACCCCTGGCCAGGCACACATCAGCCATACCACGGCATCAGTGGCAGCAGAGGCTCAGTGTGGACTTTCAGGTTTCAAACATTTACAAGTTTAAGAACCCTGAAAAACCCCTAATATTCATCTAAATGTACTTTCATATCCAGGGTGAGCTAATCAAGTATTTAAGTCCTGCAGCTCCACTGGAATTTGGATCTGAGTGCTTATCACAAGGCAATTCCCAGCTGTATAATTTTCCACTCCAGTCCCTCATGTAGTAATGCTGTATATAGTGTTTTTCGCTTTGTAATAAATACTCTTCATGAAGAAAATTATATATGTTCTGCCAAATGTTGAATGGGAGGGTTCCAGCCAAGTTGAAATGATAACTGATAAACCTTGCTGAATTGTTTTGAAACGTGTATTTCTAAATGTATTGGAAGGATCTCTACTCACATTCTGGCATGTACATACAGCGTGGGTTAGCAAAATTCTCTGGTTGGAATGGAAACCTGTATGGATTTTGCAAGTCTTCCTTGTACAGAAAGTTTCAGTTATGTCAGATTACTTGGCCTGATGGAAAAAACAAGTCATTTGATCTCAACATAAATAATAGCAACTGGGTATACATGACAATAGTTTCTGATAGGACTCCCTGTATTCCTTACATTAATGAGAAAGAGTATTGGGAGAATTTGTCAATCCTTGTATAAAAGAATGCATGCTACTTCTATCACTGGACTGCATAGATTTTTAGGTTTACAAATAACATTTTGCAAAATTATGTATTTTAATACAAAGAATTAATTGATGAAATATGTAGTATGTAATAGAACTATTACTTATTTATACAGTTGCATTTCCCAGGATGATTTTTAGAGTCTCTCTCCAAGGTAGAACAAAACCAGTCTTCCAATATGGGATGAATTACAGGGATTGCTGTATTATTGAGCCTGATTCCTTCCAACATCTGCAGCAGTATCACTGCGCTGTGCAGAAATGACATGGCCCTGGATGGATAAGCTAGCCCTGAAGAATCAAGGCTCTTCTGCAGTGAACAGAGTGGACCAACTGCCCAAGGACTTTCCCGTAAGTCTGGTTTTCAGGAGCTGACTGGGAAGGGGAAGTATTTACCCTCTGGCTGCCTGGAGGCATGAGCTGGGTACTTGGTCACATCCAGCCCTGGTGAGGAGCAGCTCTCACCTGCTCCATCGGTGCGTGCTCTGCCCCATGGGCTGTGAGTTGGCAATGGAAAAGGCAGTGGCTGGGCCTGTGCTGTTGCTCTGTGCTTGTGGGGAGGGTAGGATGGAGAGGCCACACTGTGACATTCACTGTGGATGTGTTGAGTTTTATGGACTCTACTGGGTATTTTTTGCACTTTGAATAAATAGGGATCCCAAGTAGAAGAAACATGATTTTTCTTTTCTGTTTCCTATGGTTGTTCTCACTGTCTCGTAGGTGAGACATCACCATTTAGTGTCTCAACAGCTGCTGCTCCAAAACAGGCCTCTCTCTCTATTGCACTGATGGTTCACACAAAATAGGCAATAGATAGAAACTTGCATAAGCTTTGTGTCATCTAGTGTCAGTCAGAAGAGAAACCCTGTACTTGCTAAGCTGCTGGTGAAATTTCAAACCATTAAACTGATTTTCTTCTGAATGTGACTTTCAAGTCTCTGGGTCAGGTTTTTCAGTGGTATGAGGCATGTAAAGAAGCAGATAAATACCATGCTGGATTTTTCTTGTTGTTTTAACCGAAGGGGTGTTAGGCACCTAGTTTCAGCAGGGTTAACTCGGGCAGACTCTGGTCATAAGACATGTGAAAGGAGCTGGCTCAGAGTTCAGGCAAGGAGAATATTTATCCCTGGAAGCAATTTCTTACTTGGTTAAAGTCAGACTTTGGGCAAACATGGGGTGTAGAAAATGAAATCAAAACCTGAATAGCTTTTGGAATTACTGCATTAGTAGCATTTTAAATTTTTTTTTGACACTTTGTAATGTTTGGTTTTCTTTTTCCCTAGAAAGTATTTCCACTGTTACTAATCTCTTTTTGTCAGGTTTTGACTAATCTGTTGCTTTTTGGGGTCTATTTCAAATATTTTGGCACCATCAAGCAATGTATTTTGCAATCTCTTGGAGTACAATGTTCCCTACTTTTACTATTAAACCATTTTAAAATTCATTCTTGAATGAGTGTTGGACTACTTCAGGAATACTTAGGAATAAAGTAATTTCACACCTGCTTTACGCAGGAGGTTGTGCCAGTGGCCTGGGCTGAGTGCTTTGGGGAGCAGTATGAGTGACTCCTTAATGGGCATGTCATGGGATATATAACAAAGTCAAGCTCCCCCTTCCACAGCAGCTTTTTATACTTATTTTGGAAATCAGATTAGTTTAAAATTGAAAAAGTTAAGTATGACTTTCAAAAAGAAGGTAATAGTGTTTTTAAAATCAATCCAGATAGCTCTGAACTGCACTGAAAAGTTGTTATTATTTCTTTTTCTTACAAGGATCTGGTGAAAAGCAGCTACCAAAATGAAGGAACTGAGCAGAATAGAAATGAAATAATGTGCCCAAAGTAATTAAAAGGGAGTACTCCAAGTAGTTGAAGTGAAGAAGAAATATAAAAAAAACATGTTGAAGCTTTGAAACATGTTTTTTCAAGCATCTTAAAAAGTGTACAACTCTGGTAAGTAGATCCAGACAAAGGCTAATACTGACTCTGCAATTTTTTTAATGCCACATATGTATAAAAATGCCACAAATGCAAAATAATGTTCAGGCTGACAAACACCTTATTTCCACAATGTGGAAATCAAACGTGTTGGAAGGCTATAATTGCATTAAGTGTAGTCACTTTCACATTTATTTCTGTGTGCCCAGAAAGAATAGGTTAAAACATCTTTAAATGATTAAAAAGTGTAGGACACACAAATGTGCATGTGCGTATATATGAATTGTGGAAAAACCCAGAAGAATACAAAAGTATCAAGAAGGACAGTAAAACATTTTTCAAGGTATTTTCAAATGTGAATGGGCATTGAAGAATGACTTTGAAAGTATTCCAATAGTAAAATAAAATCTAAAGGTTAAAAAGCTCCTGAAGAAGCTGCTATCAAAGTCCTTCAATGTCAGAGTGTTCTGGGAATGTCTGAAAAGTTTCAGGATGTGTTTAATCAACACTCGGTGCTACAGTACTGTGCTTTAGTGGGAACTTCTCCAGCTTTAAAGTCCATGAGTAGAATTGTTGTCCAAAACAGAGCAAAAGAATTAGCCCCCACTTTACTGTCCTATTACTCAGAATTAAAAAGAAATAATGTAGCAATTGCCAGTAAAGCTTCAAGCTGATGAGGAATAAGCATGTACACCCCAGAGGGCAGGACTAGGAGCATCTCAGAGGTGGCAGCGAGCCTTGGAGTGGTGCCTGTGTTTCCGGAGGGGTAGGGCTGCTGGAGGTGACATGGGGCTGCTGCAGTCGCACCCCACTGGAGCACATTGGCCCTTGGCCCCTGGTTTTGATGTGGGAGACAGACTCTGCTCCTGCCCTGCGGTGCCCCTTTGCCAGCTCTCTATGGGATTTGCTGTAGTGGAGTTGAAGTTGTGGTGCCCAAGGGGACCCTGCCAGGGGCGTTGGGGTGCTCCAAAGAAATTGAGGAAAGACCTGCAAGCTTGTACAGCTGCTGTTGTTGGAAGTTTGTGAAAGAAAAGTCTTATTTACCTTTTTTCACGTCACCTTCCCCTTTGTTCAAAGCTGCTTTTTCAAGCCTGTACCATTTGGTGTTACATGCGCCGTATCTGAAATGCCCAACTGCAGCCTTCACCTCGTATGGCCTCCCCAGCAGGGATTTATAACGTTGATAGCCCTGGCAGAGGGACTGCAATTGCAAAGCATCATCCCGGACTTCATTTCTTACAGACCTGTGTGTGTCTGTCATTCCAAGATGGAGTTTGACTCCCTTGCCATCGCTGGGAACACGCAGTGGGCGTCCTTTTGGTGTTTGCTTTGGCAATAAGCACAGTCTCTTAAACTCCACTTCCCATAGATTAGCAGACAATGTCTCTATGGAGATTTATTTTGACAGCTTGGGTTTTAGACAGCTTGTTCTGCATTTTGGCTTTGGCCAGGATGCCACATGACATTAAAGAGGAGCTGAACTGAGTGGACATCTGCTGTCACAAAAGTGACCATTAAATTTACAGGCAGGCATAAACTGGGCTGAATTAAAAAGGCAACAAAATCCCACTCCAGTAGGGAACATAATGGCTGCAGCTAACACAGTTTGGGGGATTTTTTTTGCTTTTTTTCCTTTCTTTTCTTCCCCCCTGCTACCCTAGAGAGTGGATTGACTCTCTACCTACTAATTCATGTGGTTTTTGGTAAGTAATTCACTACGAGTTTCTCAGGTTAATACTGGACCTTTTGAGTTGCAGTTGGGGTTTGGGAATATTTAGAGAAATGTCCTCTCAAGCAGCAAATACATATCAGCCTGAAAACAGCCAGAGCATTGGCCCAGGGTACTGACTGACACCACTCTTTAAAAGGCCATTTTCTGGCCCTGTAGAAGATAGGTGGGACTGGGAGGAGAGCTCACATGAGAAAGAAAACAACTATAATTCTTTTTCTGTTAATCAACTCATTTATTTAAATTAATGTATTTCTTTCTAGCAGAGAAGCCTAGATGAAATTTTACTTGCTGCATCCCAGGCCATTGGACATTATTATGCACCTATTACTGTGCCCAAAGATGTACATGGGGGGAACCACCAAGAGTTTTTACTCTCTATATAAATTTGTTAATAAATAGAGCTTTTAATGAAAGATTTTTTTTAAAAAAGTATGGTAGCTGCCACATACTTTAAATATAAGGTGGATATCCCTGAGGAGGGATATAAGGTGGAAAAGGAGGTGCCTTCCCTGCAAGCAAAGGAGTTTTTTGCAAGGTTGGGCTTTAGAAGCGGTGAATCTCTCCTGCTGATCTGCCCAATGCTGGAGACAACCGAGCTGTCCCTGACCCAGCAGCCTCTCCGGTGGCATGTGTGCGGTGCACAAAGTGGATAGTTTTCTAGTGCATTTCCCTTGTCAACTCCATGCACTGATGGGCATCTCCATCACCTCATGAATACCTGACCAGCATGACTGGACAAGGCAATGACCTGGATGGATTCAGCCATTTCTCGCGTCATGGGCATCACCTCTAATGCTGCACACTGCAGTCGGGTGGGGGATCTATAGCTGCTGCATCTGCAGCCTTTCTCCTTCACTCATGGCTTACCAACATGTTAAAATGTAGAATGACATAAAATGTTGAAATATCAAGTACTGCACCATAGACAGATAAGGAATATTTCATCTTAAAAATGCCATACCCTCATAGTTAGACTCTGGGCATAGTGAGCAACAGCAGCCCAGCAGGCCCACCACTCATGGCCTGCTGCTTGTCCACGGGAGGCCATCACAAAGCACTGCAACAATCCCCAGCAGTTTCCCCACCAGTTCATTTTGCCGATTCCCCTTGAAATCAAAGAGCCTGCCGATTTAAAAGCTGCAGAATCAATCCTACATCATCTATAGGCTTACAGTGTCTATGCTATTGCGCACGCCCTGGCAGCCATGTATAGATCTAAGCCCTCACACTATAAATATTTTTCTATCCTGGTCCCGTAGGTTAGAGGTTAAGTAGGTTGAGGCTAATCTTGATTTGTGACCCAGCTTCACATGTGCTGGCGGTGAGGTTAAGCCCTTTTCCAGCGGCAGGCTGCCTTCTGCGGGCTGTAATGAAGCCCATACACACTAGATGGCCCCAGGAGAACGCAGTGCTGCTTGGAAATCATAACCCAAAACTGCTAGATTGGATTAAAAAAAAATTTAAAATCTGGTTACTCCAAAATCCTTCTCATAGAATTATTTAGGCTGAATTTTTCAAGATGACTGAGGGTCAATCAGCATATGTCTTCCAGAGGAAGCCGGAGAACTCAAAATATTGAAATAGCACTGGCATTTTATATTTATACAATAGAGAGTCACTTCAAAAGTATGCTTTTCTCAGAGCAGCCCACAGATTGGCTACTGCTATGTTGCTGTTTTCATTACTAACATGTAAGAATGGAGATGGAGGGGGGAATGATGTTGTTCCAGAGTTAAAAACCAGGGCCATACTTCTTATGTTTCTGTGACAAAGCAACTGAGTTTGGGGAGCAGGTTCCTTGCTCAGCTCATGCAATGGTACACCCTGCACAGAGCTGTGGGCAGGTTTGGGGGGGCTGCAAGATGGCACTATGCACTGCCAGATTACAGCTGTAAAGTCTGGCCCTTGCTGTGGTTTTTCTGCCTTGATAAATGTCATTAAAATACGGGAGATAGATTGAGACAGACTCCCTTGAAAATTTAAAAAAAAAAAAAAAAGAAGTAAATAGGCCTGGTTAACTACATGCAAGGACTTGGGAACAGAAATACTTTTGGCTCCATCTTCATATTACCAACCATATAAAAGTGTCTGTCAGAGTCCCCACAGCTAAAGAATAAATGCCAAGAGTGGTTCCAGGGGTGATTTTTAGCACTTTGACACAGGTTCTGAACCATACTCCATGTCTTCTTTAGGGTCGGGTCCCCAGCAGGATTTATTTCTGCGTCAAGGAAGATTACAGCTAATAGGATTTGCTTCTTGGAGGCTGTTGGCATGTTTGGTGCAAACCTTGCACAGTGCTTTCTTAAAGGAGAATATGGACCCTATTTGTCATATTTTTCTTCTTCTTCTGGCCTTCCACAAGATAAACCCATCTGTTTCATCTTGTGTCACAGGATGCTCTTGCTTTCAAGACAGCTTTGGAAGGTAAGACAGCTCGTTACCCTCCTTGTAGCACCAGCAAAGCAACTCAGAGATTCACAGTATATATTTGCCGATGTTGTGAGCTCCAAAACCGAAGAGGTGGCTGCATGGTGTGCCGCCTCTAATTCTTGACTAGTACTAGCTTGAGCATGGACTG